AGGGAGGGAGGGAGGGAAGGAAGGAAGGAAGGAAGGAAGGAAGGAAGGAAGGAAGGAAGGAAGGAAGGAAGACACTTGACCCTGAGTCCTTACTCACCCAGCCTCTGGATGACCCAGAGATCAGGGAGGGCCTTTTGGAAAGAGCCAGAAGCTGAGAATGAGTGGGGGGCTGGGGGTGTGGCTAAGGGCCAAGGAGTAGTCATTTACTATGACACAAACTATCCTAAGAGGTTTGAGCAAATGCTGGGCAGCTCCTAAGCGCCCAAGGCCTGATGTGAGAAGGACCAGCTGACCCTCGGCCCCACTGTCCCTGGCTCTGTGACCACTCCACTGTGTCCCCTCTCCCCTGCCCCACTTGCTCACCCTTTCTGGCCTTGGGGCGGAATACTTACACCACAGCTATTGGCAAACACATCAGGGCTTTCATGTCAAGCTGCTGTTAGTTATTTTTCTTCCCTGTGCCAAACACTCAGGAGAAGCAACTTGAGAAGAAAGATGTGGGTTTTGGCTCAGTTTACGGGGATAGCATCCATCATACCCTGGAAGGCATGCAGCTGGGCTCTGTCTGGGTGGGAGCCTGTAGCACAGCTTGTTACATCTCAATATATTGGCAAGCAGAGAGGAAGTAGCCTAGAACCCCAAGCCCTACCCCCCATGGCTCTATGTCTGCCAGTTAGGCCCCATGCCCAAAAGGTTCCAGCATCTCAATATATTGGCAAGCAGAGAGGGCTCAGAAGTGGAAGTAGCCTAGAACCCCAAGCCCCACCCCCCATGGCTCTATGTCTGCCAGTTAGGCCCCATGCCCAAAAGGTTCCAAAACCTTCCAAAACACCACCACTAGCTGGGGACCCAGTGTTCAAACATATGAGCCTATGGGGAATGTTGCACATTCAAACTGTAACATTGTACCCATTTGCTCATGGTCATCTCAAAATTCAAAATGCCTTCGGTCCCTAAGAGTCTCCACAATCTTAACGGTTCCAACATTATTGAAAGGCATAAGTTAGGTCTCCTCTGAGACCCAAGACAGCTCTTAGCTATGGGCCCCTGTAAAAATAAGAAGCTCCATGCTTCCAATATACACTGGCACAGAGTTAGCGTTTTCATTCCAAAGGGAAAGGGAAAGGAGGGTAACAAGGGAAGATCACACGGAGCGGGACAGAAAGCCCGCAGAGCGCACATGAAACACTGCAGCTGTCTGGCTTCTGGCGCTCATGATGACACCCATGCTTCCAATTTACACTGGCACAGAGTTAGCGTTTTCATTCCGAAGGGAAAGGGAAAGGAGGGTAACAAGGGAACATCACACGGAGCGGGACAGAAAGCCCGCAGAGCGCACATGAAACACTGCAGCTGTCTGGCTTCTGGCGCTCATGATGACATCATCTGGGTTCCAACAGGCTTGTCAGCCCTGCCCCTATAGTCCTGTTGCCTACAGTGCACACAGCCTCCCTCCAGCCAGCTCCCGGTGCCTGGCATCCTCCCCATCCTGGGGTCTCCATTCAACTCAAGTTTCACCTTTGCAGTTCTGTGCTCAGCCTGCTCAGGACTTCCACAGGGAGTCCGCCTCTGCTACCTGCTGCCTGGCCTCACAGGCTTTCCTCTGGAACCTTGGTGTAAGCCTTGATGACTGCTTTTTTCCCCCCATATCTTACATGCCTGCAAAACCAGTGCTATATGGGTGACTGAGTTCTGATGCAGCTCAAGGTGCAGACTGGCCCGCATTTACAGCTGCAGTCGGTTCTGTGCACCTTCACGGCTGGGCCTGGGAAAACATTTCTGTAAGTGATCCTGTCCGTGAGACCCCATGGAGACACTCCGCGCAGGTTCTCCCCTTTTAAATCAAAATTTTAAAAGCAAGTTTGCATGTTTACACCTTGGTGTCCTCACTGATTGGGGCTGTGCACACAAGGCCCCTTCGTCATCATCCAGGTGCAAAGCTCTCGGCTTCTCCATGGTATTAATCTTGTGATAGTTAAAGTCGCCTTGTCTGCACCTCCCTTACCCAGCCATTTACAACGTAGGCTACATCCACACTCCTTTCCTGTCTTGTCCAACGGCACATTTCCCAGTGTCCTGCTCTACATTTTGCTCATAATTCTCATTGAAAACCTGGCTAAAGGCAGCCACAACAACCACACCACAGCCTGACTCTTGTGCTGTCTTGGACTTTAATTTGCCAAACAATTAGCTCATTCCTTTGAAATTCAGAGTTTCAGGGCACACACACACACACACACACACACACACACACACACACAAAAAATCACAGCCAGATTCTCCGCCGGAGTGTAACATGAAAGGCCCCTAGTGCGGTGCCCAACAGAGTCCTCCTTCCCCTGACCCCTCATGAGCAGTGCCTTCACTGGATCCTCTGGTGTTCTGAACGCCCACCAGAATGGCCCATCAAACTCTGCCGATAGAACTCAAGGACTTCTGTAGCCCACAGCTCCAAACTCCTCCACATTCTTCCCCCAAGCCAATTCCAAAAGCCCATGAGCCACATGGTCAGGTTTATCCCAGCAGCAGCCCCACTCCTGGTATCAATTTTCTCTTACATTTTTTTGTTGCTGTTGGAGAGGTAACCTAAGGGAGGAGAGGCTGTTTGGTCAGGCAGCCTAAGGAGTACAGTTCATCATGACTGGGAGGGTGCAGTGGCCTGGGTTCCACCTGTGGTGGGGGGCAGGGCTTATAGTACGGTTTGTTCAATCATGGCAGACGAAGAGGCAGAATGAACTAGTTGGATCAGAGGCAGCCTAGAACCCTCAAGCTCTGCCCTACAGTCCTAAGTCTGCAGCTGGGCCCCTTGTTCAAACTGTTCCACAACCTCCCAAATACAGCACCAGTGACTGGGAACTAAAGTTCAAACCATGAGCCTGTAAAGGACATTTCACATGCAAATCCTGACACCCGTCACTCACCGTCTGTGGACACTGCATCTTCTCCAAGTTCTTGGGCAAAACCAAGAGCTCTTTCCCTTGATCCCTGCCCCCTCTAGCTCCATCACTCAGGGCCCCAGGGCTGGGGAGGTAGCTCAGTGTTCAGAGAACTAGAGGCTCTTACAGAGGACCTGGGTTCAGTCCCCAGCACCCATGTGGCAGCTGACAACTGCTTGTAGCTTCAGTTCCGGGGGATCCGACACCCTCTTCTGGTCTCCATGGGAACTGCATGCATCAGTGTACTTGCATACATGTAGGCAATACACTCATACACACCAAATAAAAATACATTTTTTTAAAGGAGGCTTTTGGACATCTTAAACACAGCTCACTTTCTATCGGGAAGCCTCCCATATCTGGGAACAGCTCTAAGCTCTGACCTCCCTTCCCATTAACCTCCTTTCCCACCCTGCCTATCAATCAATTGGACCCTCTCTATAGGTAGATGTGGCCATATTGTCTTTTCCTCTGCCCCACCCCTGGTGCTCAGTCCTGCTCCCTCCTGGCTCCACTCCTCAGTTGAAGGCCGATTCTCAGAGGGTCTTTTGAATTGACTGTTGGGACCAGGAGAATTACAGGAACACAGGGCACCAGGATCCTTGGCCTGATGCCTGTGATTGCCAGGGCAGACTCTTTTGCAAGTTCTTGGCTGTGCCTCAGTTTCCCCATCTGGGAATAACAAAAACATCTCCCTCACAAGGTCGTGTGGTTAATGAGTTAATATTTATAAACTAACCTAGATTAACTCCTGTGTCAAAGCAGAACTATTATTACTTCAGTATTTGCTGATAAAGACAAACAAGCACAGGGTTCTGGCCATCGCTGGACTACAGTGAAGATGCTCACCCCAAGATAAAGGGGACAGAAAATAAGGTTAAACATGCTCGCACATGCCTTTAATCCCAGCACTCGGGAGGCAGAGGCAGGCAGATCTCTGTGAGTTTGAGGCCAGCCTGGTCTACATAGTGAGCTCCAGGCCAGCTGGGGCTACAGGGAGACCCTGTCTCAAAAATTCCAAAAAAAAAAAAATTCTTGACTCAACCAAGTACTGAGGAGAAGAGGAGCTAGAGAGAGGAGCCCAAAAACTGCCCTGCCTCACCCAGCTCTATCTGGTCCTTCAGCTCCAGCCTGTGTGAGTTTTACAAGCAGAGCTGCAGGTCATGGGGGTTTATGATTGACGAGCATCCTGGGAGTCATCCCAACATCAACAAGGAACTATGCTTAGGACACAAAAACACACACATCCCTGATAGCCATATAAGTATCACCCACCTTCACACCTCACTCACACCTCCCTCCCTCACTCACACCTTCCCAGTTCACCTCCTGCCCTCTACCCACCTCCATCATGGCCACCTCCACCATGTCTGTCTGCTCTGATGCCCACACCGAGTCCTCCTGGCAGGTGGACGACTGTCCAGAGAGCTACTGCGAGCCCTGCTGTATCCCCAGCTGCTGTGCCCCCTGCTGCGCCCCCAGCGACTGCCAGTCCAGCTGCTGTGCCCCAGCCCCCGGCCTGACCCTCATCTGCACCCCAGTGAGCTGTGTGTCCAGCCCCTGCTGCCAATCCACCTGCCCCAGCTCCTGCACACCATGCTGTCAACAGTCCAGCTGCAGCTCCTCCCCCTGCCAGCAGTCCTGCTGTGTGCCCCTCTGCTGCAAGCCCGTCTGCTGCACACCAGTCTGCTGTAAACCTGTCTGCTGTGAGCCGGTCTGCTGTGGGTCTTCCTCCTGCTGCCAACAGTCCAGCTGCCAGCCCTCCGGCTGCAGCTCCTCCCCCTGCGGCAGCTCCTCCCCCTGCTGTGTGACCCTCTGCTGCAAGCCCGTCTGCTGCACACCAGTCTGCTGCAAGCCCGTCTGCTGCACAACAGTCTGCTCTGGATCCCCCTGCGGCCAGCAGTCTAGCTGCCAGCCCTCAAGCTCCCCGTCATCCTGCTGTGTGCCCCTCTGCTGCAAGCCTGTCTGCTGCACACCAGTCTGCTGTAAACCTGTCTGCTGTGAGCCGGTCTGCTGTGGGTCTTCCTCCTGCTGTCAACAGTCCAGCTGCCAGCCCTCCGGGTGCAGCTTCTCCCCCTGCGGCAGCTCCTCCCCCTGCTGTGTGACCCTCTGCTGCAAGCCCGTCTGCTGCACACCAGTCTGCTGCAAGCCCGTCTGCTGCACAACAGTCTGCTCTGGATCCCCCTGCGGCCAGCAGTCTAGCTGCCAGCCCTCAAGCTCCCAGTCATCCTGCTGTGCACCCCTCTGCTGCAAGCCCGTCTGCTGCAGACCCTGCTCCAGCGTGTCCCTGCTCTGCCGCCCCGTGTGCAGACCCACCTGCTGCGTGCCCGCCTCCTCCTGCTGTGCCT